ATATCCTAAAAGACAAAGAAAAAAAACACATTAGAAATAACTCCTAAAATAGTGCAGTACATATGAATTTTTCAATTGTTCATTAGTGAACTATTCAAATCCTTTTAGAATTAGAATTAATAGGAAAACTTGAACAATTTTAAATACTTCAATAAATTCAAAGATGGATCATAGACTTTTAAATATAGAGTTAGAACTTAGTTGACTTAGAAATTTAATATAAAGCCACATTGATAAAGTATGATATCTGTGGACTGAATCCCCGTTTTCAGTAATTTTATCCTAATACATAGTAGACAATTTCTATTAATTTTTAAATTATTGCATAATGTGACTATTGAATATCTTAAATACAGTAGGTCCACTTAATATCTCTTATTGTCTGAGATTCCCTAGAAAAAGAATTTTGGAGCAATTTGCACAGCAAGCCTTCAATTGAAATTTAATATATTCTATATATAATACGTTAACCTCACATCTGCCTGCTAGGAGCGCTTTAAATAGGGTCTAGAATTATTACAAAGGGATGACTTCATTCTGTATGCCTTTTTCTTAATTTTATAAAATAAAATATTCCTTCCACATCACTCTTCAGCAGAAATTTTATGAAAATAAAGGAAATAATCTGTGCTAAGTGTATGTGGAAATAAAAGAATTGGCTTACTTCAAATTTCAAGATAAGTTCAGTTAATATAGAGGAAGAAGTATGGTTAATGTTTCAATGTATTCAGGATACTTTTTTGTCAGTAAAATTTGTTTCTGTTTGTAATCTCTGAATTATAAGAGAAGATACAGTTTATCTCTGTGTCTCTGATTAAAGATATTTTTAAAATTCTAAAAAAAATTAAGTGATTATCTAAAATCACAAACAAGATAAATAAACAACTTAAGAATGTAATATTTTTACTTTTAGAATAGCAAACTCTACTTCCTTCACCACTTAAGTTTCTCAGAAGTAGTAAGTGATACAAAAACACTGGAAAACATGAAAACTTATAAATGAAGAAACTAGTCTGACACAATGGAAAACTACTCTGCTGTAAGAAGGAAAAACATTTACTCTTTGCAACAGCATGAGTAAACCTGGACATTATGCTGAGTGAAATAAGCCAGTCAGAGAAAGTCAAGTATCATATGATTTCACTGTGAATTTAATGAACAAATTGAACTTCCAAGCAAAACAGAGACTGACTCATCGATGGAAAACAGGCAGGTGGCTCAGGTGGGATGGTGAGCATATTGAGCAAAAAAGAAAAAAAAAAAAGAGAGAGAACTCATGGACATGGACAACATTGTGGTGATTGTGGGGTGGAAGAGGGCAGAGAGGGGATAAATGGTGATGGAAAAAATAAAAATAAAATAAAATAAATTAATCAAAGATAAAACTACTTTGGGACCATGGCATATTTCAAAAGGACTTATAATAATCATACTATAAATATATATTTCATTCTATAATTATAAACACAAATGAATATCAAAAGATAAATTATGTTATTTATAATGTTATATTTGAAATTACACACATTAAAATCTTATTTACATTAAAAACAATGAATTCAAGTCCTAGTTGGTTTGGCTCAGTGAATAGAGTGTTGACCTGTGGACCAAAGGGTCCCAGGTTTGATTCTGGTCAAGGGCATGTACCTCAGTTGCAGGCTTCTACCTGGGCCCTGGTAGGGGCTCGTGCAGGAGGCAACCAATTGATGTGTTTCTCTCACATAGATATTTCTCTCTGTCTTTCCCTGTCTCTTCCACTCTCTCTAAAAATCAATGGAAAAATATCCTTAGGTGAGGACTAAAAAAAACCCCACACAAAACAAAACAATGAATTCAACACTGAATGTTTATAAATATAGATTTTTTAAATATTGAAACAATGTTTAGTATCAAGCTTGTTGTGATGGCATAAAGTCAAAGATGACTAATAAAAAATACCTCTGCTAAACTGTAGGCAGTTTTAAAGATAGGTGCCAAAATGTTGGCATATGTGTTTCATTCAGAAATCTTATAGAAATATTTTCATCACTGGGTAGATTTCAGTCAAAGCAGGAAAATATTTGAAATATCACCATTATATGTATTTGTACAGATTGCACAACAAAGTGGGAAATCAGAATAATGAAAAGTAATTTGAGATCAAAGGTGGCATCATATAATCACCAGTTTCATCTTATAAATGGCACATCATATATTTGAAAAATAACGAAGCAAAGCTGCATTGAACAACCAAAGATCCATATCAATGGTTGTAAAATTATGCTTTTCAGACCCTGAAATTTCCACAAGGCATATCACGGTACTTCTAAAAGCCAGTATATTTACCATAGGCAATTTTCATGTAGTATATGCATTGCATTATATTAAGGTCAAACTAACCAAACAAATATTCAATGAATAGTCTTTCAAAAAAGAAAAGACAAAAGATTCCAAAAATTCAAAATATCTAACAATCTCTGCTTTATAAATTTAAATATATCTACTCACAAATGACAAAGATAGAATGATCCTTGGGGATTATTATGTGTTAATTGACAAATGCTGCTATGATTTCACATACAAAATTAGGTGACAAGATGTAAGGTCGACTCCTCAGTATTTTGCTGACTCTACAATAAAAATTATTCTTCTCAGCTCTAATTTCCACTTTCTAAGGTTGTTTCCTACCAAAAGGCATCAGATTAAAGCCTTCAGATTAAGCAAAGTATCTTTAACTAAAACCTCATAGTGACTTTAAGTTATAAAGCACAGCAATAAAAGCATTTTTTGCTTCCATTTTTCCCTGGTAATAATTTTGGATAACTTTCTTACTGTTTAATTTATATAATCTCAGTTAAACTTTTCTTTTGCTTTAGTTTATTTTGCTTTATTAGAATGCATTAAAAATTCTGACTTCCATATATTTTTCCAAAAAAAACAAAACAAAACTGCTAGCATTTTACTGGGTACCTAAGTACATTTATGGATAAAACATTTCTTCCCCTCCCACATTTTTTGATGCAATCTCTCTCTCTCTCTCTCTCTCTCTCTCTCTCTCTCTCTTTATCAATACAAATCAGTAAAAGCATATTCTCCAGTGCGAATTAACACACACACACACACACACACACACACGGGCTCACTGCCTCTACAATTACTAACATTATTTGAGAAAAGATATTAGGAAAATGATTTGGTCTTAGGTTCCCGGTGTGTTCTTTGTGAAGGCAGAGTTCTGCCTTCCTCCCTTTCCTCTTTATAAACTCCCTGAGATCAATAACACAGTAGAAAACGATACTATTTTTTTTAAAAAATCAAGCATTTGAAATCCAGCTAGAGTTAGTTTTTGCCAATACTTTCTAAATCATGGCTTCATAAATGTTCATACTCTCATTAAGATATCTTTAAGGTTTTGTTCAAGGTAGGTCTGGATGTCAATTTCCCCCCAAGATATAAATTATGTCTACTCTGCTTTGGTGATGACTTATTTATTATAACACTATTCTCCAGACTCAATAAGATTTTCATAGAGAAAAAAATCACAGTGTAAAGCCATTTATGTTATACTTTAGCCATTGCCAGATTTCGGGGGTTCATGATTTATCATTGAAACCGCAAGAACATATAAGTATTTTCCTAAGTAAATTAAATAATTTGAAACAAATCTGAAGTTTCATATCAACTTCATTTTTTTTCAAATAGAAAAAATTCAAAATGTTGAGAAACACATTTCTACATTTTATCAATCCGTGTTTGTTGACTGTCTCTTGTTCTCAGATTATTGGTATCCATTGCTCCACTTCTCACATCAACGCATGTGTGCACACTCATTCCTACTACAGGTTTTTCAAACAATAAATATTAATTTACACCTACAGAATACAAGTAACAATTTAAAATGCCACAAGGCAACCCTATAATTCTCTAAAATGCACTTCAGAACAGCTGCTCTTGGCAGATTTTTGACTACAAATAACAATACATTAGCATAGAGATTTGAACTCTAATCTACAATGAAAATATCTGGAGTATTTCACTTGTTTAAAATATATTTTTATTGATTTCAGAGAAGAATGGAGAGGAAGATAGAGAGATAGAAACATCAATGATGAGAGAGGATCTTTCATTGGCTGCCTTCTGCACGCCCCATACTGGGGATCAGCCTGCAACCAGGGCATGTGCCCTGACCTGGAAATGAACTATGACCTCCTGCCTTATAGTTCTGTGCTCAATCACTGAGAGATGCCGGTCGGGCTGGGGTAGTTCACTTTTTACAAGGTTGTTCACGATTGGGTAGGAGTCCTTCTATATCTGTGAATAGAGTTCTCTGGTCTTACTTTCTAGCCTACAGTTTACAGCTATAACCCAGATACATATTTAGGATTTGCAAATTCAGGACATCCCATTTGGACAGTAATCCTTAAAATGTGCATATTTTTTACTTCATTAGTATCAAATTAAGAAAATAACTTCTAATATCTGAAATAATTCAAGCTTAAACATATGAAGTAAACCATTTAAAATTCCACGTGATCTGTTCTCCAATGCCACATGAATCCGCGGCGATTATGAAAATAGAGGATCCCAGTTATGGCATGGTCTTTCCACGGTTCTGGGAGACAAAGATGATTTCACCTTGACAGAAGTCGCATGCTACTTCCATGTATGGTATGATTTTAATCTTCATGGAATAACAAAAGCAGTGACATGTTAAATGTAAAACAGATGTTACACCCTTACAACTTCTTGGGTGAAATAAGGACTACAGTAAAAGCCTTGGAAGAGAAGTATAAATGCTTGACATAGGGATGAAGGGCTATAGGTACAATTTATTTAAAATTATTTATTGTGGAATCACTTAAGATTCTCCCTTGGGAATCAATTTCATTCTATTCTTCTATTAAAGTGTAACTGGTATACTAACTGTTAAAATGTAGACAAATGGGAAAAAAAAGGAATGCTGACGATCATACATGTAGGTGGGACATCACATAGGAGTGAAAGAGGGAGGGAACACTAACCATATTAGGCTTGGATGGGCAACAGCGCAGAGGGAAGAAGCCCGTCCACAGCCACATTCGCAGCAACTGAAAAGCAAACAAGAAAGCCCAAGATAAGGAAGAGATCCCACTCCCTCAATACAGCATAAAGACACTACGTATTTAGACAGGTGTCTGCTTTGCTTTTCAAAATTATAAATCCCTCTATGCATACAATTAATTTTTTCCACAATGCCCTTCAAATTAAGAAGCATTTTATGGAATTAAGACATACAGAACTGTATTAAATAGTTATTTTTATTTTACTTAAAATGCTGATTCAGTAAGGACATATGAACTAATACATTTGCTTATGCAATTAATATAGAAGTGCAAAAATATGTAAACCCATTTAAATATATGTCTCCTCCGAAATTCCAGCAAACTTTATATTCAGAAGACATTTTAAATAGCCCCTCAAATACATGTTTTGCATAGAGCCTACATATTTCAGCTGGAGAACAATGTCTTCCTCATTTGACCCACTGATTTCTTATTCCAGTGGAATTATTTATCAAAGCCTATTGAAAATGTTTGCATACGTGACTTTAATCACTTATGGAAGGCTTGCAACTTAAATTTACATTTTCAGATTTAAAAAATGCATCTCTATATATTAGCAGAACTATTGCTATGTTAAAAATAAGCAAGCTATATATAATACATTCACTTTCTGGATATCAAAACACTCAAGATAATTTAAAAATTTTCACATAGTCATAGTAAAAAATGATCCAGAAAAAAGCACGAGTAAACTGTCTAATAAAATTGCACTTTATTGTGGGAAACCACATAAACTGATGGCAGAATATAATACAGAATTATTTAGTGCTTCAACGCATTCACCTTTACGTATATTTTATGAATAGCATTCCTAGTTATTTTGAGAGAACTGTGGGAAAAGCTTAGTAATGGACCAGCAAGTTTAGGCTTTTGTCCAAAATCTGGCTATTTTGAACTTTAATTCCTTGACATGTATCTACTCTATTTTATATCAAATAAGGAGAAATAAATAAAATATAATGCTAGGGAAGGTAAAAAAGTAATTCCAAATAAAATTCCAATATATTTTTTTCAAAGAAGTAGGCAATGTTCCATATATTTTCTTTGAAGTATTAGTGATGTTTTGTTTTTTAATTTTTTAAAATATATATATATATTTCTTATGCCAGTGGAATTATTTCAGAGAGGGAAGAGAGATACAATCATCAATGATGAGAGTGAGTCATTGATTAGCTGCCTCCTGCATGCCCCGCACTGGGGATGGAGCCCACAATCCATGCATGTGCCCCGACTGGCAATTGAACCATGACACCCTAGTCCATAGGCCTAGCTGAAGCACTCATGATGTTTTAATTTTTGTGCTACTATGTGACAATTTGGTTATCACTAAAATGGAATCCTACTAAACAGAAATGGCTATATGACATTTATTTCCAGTTTGATAATTTGTATTAAAAGAATATGCCAAATAATTATTCTCATTATAGAGATATTGAAAGTCAAAGTTACAGTACATCAAAATGTTAAAACACTGAGAAGTATTTCTTTTCACATCTTAATATATTTATTTATAATTATATTTATTTATTAGTGCAATTATAAGACATTTATTAATGTCATATAATTATTGATATATACGTTAACTTTCCCACTGTTTCTGCTTGTATAAAAACTCAAATTATGAGCTGGCAAACTATGGTCCATGGACCAAATCGAACATCCCACTTATTTTTGCAAGTGCAGTGTTATTGGAACCAGACACATTCATTTCTTGTTTGTGGCTTCCTTAGAGTTGCATGGCCGAGTTGAGTAGTGAAAGAGAATGAATGTAGGGCCTGCAAAGCCTAAAACTTTTACTACCTGACTATTCAAGAAAGTCCACCTTCCTCTTTTCTTAGACTGGCAGTTTCTTGAAATGATGATGATTCTTTGATTATTTTTTCTTCTTCATAGTTTAAACATAATAAATGACAACGTGTATGCAGTCAGTGTTTTACTGTAACTGGTGTTAACGTCACAATTATCTCAGTTTATTAATATAAAAAATGTGTATATATGTGTTAATTTCAAACATCCTAGTTCCAACTCAAAAATAATAAGTTAATTAATGGATTTTTGATGAATGCACCTGATCGATTTTTAGTGATAAAAAGATGATGCCATCTCCTAATAAGGTACAAACCCCTTCCAGATGCATGTGTACAAGTTAGTAAGCTCAGGTAGCAATGTGCTTAGGAAGGCAATAGTAACTGCATATTGTGGCCGTTGCCTAATAGCATTCGCTTCATACTTGGTAGTGTTCTAAGACTCAAACAAGCACACTAATGATTCTATAAATAATAATATTTTACTCATTCCTCTTAATTTTAAAAATTGTAATAGGGAACTTGTCTTAAAAATTAGTACATACACATATACACACATACAATTCACGATGACACCAAATCCACACATTTTAGTCCTGAAAAATTAAATCATTTTACCTATCTCTAGAATTCTGATTCATAGTTTTAGCAAAGTTTAATAAAAAATCTGAAATCATGTAACATTTGATATTTGTATGTCTACCTTTTCTGAGACCTTGTTTCAGATTTTGTACTGATAGTTTCTTTGACTTGTTTTAAGATGACATAAATAAATTTCCTTGGGTTACTTAGTTAACCTCTTTGTGTTTCAATTGACAGATAAGAATCCTACTTCATAGGTTTTATGAAAATAAAGTGAGAGACTATATATAATCACCTTGGTGAGTATCTGGCTGATCAAATATTTTGGGAGAAAAGTTGTAGCTATTACTCTTAGTAATATCATAATTAAAGTGATAGAATAAATTATCATTACATCAGAGGAATTTAGATTTTTCATGATCCATAAAATATTACCATGCTAATATTTCCATTGATAATATAACTGAATAACTAATTACATTCAAACAAATTCATATAAATACAAAATGGGCAATGCAAATTTTTAAATCATAATTTTCACAAAATACATTTTCTAAAAATTTAGTAATCAGAGCATACTGTGCATAAATTTGTTATGAAGAAAATTAAAAGTAAAGTACCTTTTCTATAAATATCTGAAATGAGATAGATCTTCTAAGTGATTTGGACCTTTAAATAACTTTTAAAATAACCTAGTTACCTCCACACCAGATGGTATAAAGTTCATGTTCTTTCTTTAATCAATAAATACTTGCAGAAGTACAGGTTGAAAATGCTCAGAAGCCTCAGAGGTAATTTAGAAATAGAAACTAAAACGTGCTAAAAATAGGGGTTAATCTAATGTATGTGAGCTGTGGTTCAGCACAGGGCACATCTGCATCTCCATCAGTTCCCAGCACCTGGAGGCCTGTGAGTAACTGCATGGAGCTGTAACAAGATCATTACTATCCCAGTTTAAAATAGTTTAGGCCTTCTAGGCTTATAAACAAAAATCATTGGTCTTTATTTTAAGGCTATTTTGATTTGTCCTTTGGAAGATTAAGATATGATAACAGAAGCTTTCTAAGCCCAAAGAAGATTCAAATGAAATTACTTGAGCCAGGCCTTACACAGAGCTGATCAATATATGTACGAAGTGTGTCAGTGTAAGTAAGATAACCTTCCTCCTACCGAAGCCAGGCGATTATAACTCTAGGAAAGAAATTCTCAAAGATACTAGATCAGAAAAACAAGACAATGGGCTGTGGATAAAGGGTGATTTAAATTCTTAAATAAGAGATCATACAAGTGGAGAAGAAAACACTAAGATCTTAATGGATAAATGAAAGGCAGGAAATGTAATTTCAAAAATGAAATACTTTCATTAGATAGAAAATATTTTCAGTTTACTGCTCTTAAAAAAGGAATAAATTGAAAAGGCAGCATCGTTCACCCATTTTAAATAAACAACAGAAAATGATGGTACTTAATTCTGAACACAAGAGTGGCGCTTGTGCCCTCACAGGTGGCCAGCCACACTGAAAAGTGACACCAATCCTTTTAAAAATGATCCTCCAAAACTAGTCAAAGAGTAATAAAAATGTCCTCTCCTTTTGACTCCGTTGTGTAGCAAACCAGTTAAGATCATGGGATTTGTACCCAGACTAGGAGCAGTCCTGGATGTATCCATTCATAAATGTATAGTTTCGGTAAACTAGTCACTGATGTAAATGAAAGAATAATTGTGACTATCCCATATAGGGTTGCTTTGAAGAAATAGTTTAATAATGCTTGTAAAGCTCTCTGCATTGTCTTGGGCTTATAGTCAGCACTTTACTTTTTTTTCCTCCTAACTGATATTTTTCTAACCTGGTCTTGGGCAAGGAGTGTGATACAGATAATATGCCTGAGGCTGGCCATATATCTTACATGAAGTAAATAACTCATAAATATTTCACAGTAAACAAAATATATTTGTGGAGGCAATAATTCAATATAAATCAATATAGGGTAATATTTTTCTTAATTAGGGAACAAATGTGTAGGAAAATAAAATATTGGCATAAAAGTATATCAAACTTCTAAGAGTGCTTATGTTGGAGTGTTACATCAATTCACACTATGGGTCAATTTTAGTTTTCTCTCACTTAATTTTATACTCTTCAAAAAATAAAACAAATAATTTAAACAATTCCAATTATGATATCACAATGATAAAATTTTAAACATGTAACATCCTATCTAATAATACACAAACATGGCAATTAACCATAACTCTGACACGCTTCCCATTGGCTAATCAGGGCAATATGCAAATTAACTGCCAACCAAGATGGCGGCCGGCAGCCAGGCAGCTGAAAGCGAACAGAAGGCTTGCTTGCTCCAGTGATGGAGGAAGCCAAGGTTCCCCACCTGCCGCTGCCAGCCTCTGAGCTGCACTCTAAGCAACTATGTTGCAATTATAGAAGCTAAACAAACCCCATGCTTTCAGCCAGCCGGCTGAGCTGGAGTTGCAACAGTGTTTCAATTATAGAAGCCAAACAAACCCGATCCCTGCTTTCAACAGCCGAGGTCTCACAGCTGGAGCCGAGCCTCAGAGCTAAAGCTGGCTCTCAGCTC